CGTGCGCGCGTAACAACAATCAACAAACATAACAACAAATTATTCTTGTGGCGGTACACCGGGATACCAAATAATACTAAATGACCGAGGCAATTATTAAATGTTTTATTTCTGGCACACTATTTTTTCCCAGGGGTGTAACTTCACCCCGCGACTGGGGTAACCAATCAATGCGAAATCAGTGCTACACTCCGCGATGTCGAAACACCAAAACATGAGCATAAAAAAATCCGTTGTCGAAAATTTAAACTTTGAATGGTGCACCGTGTACAGCTCGTCGAGATGAGTCGATTGCCGCATCGCCGACCATCAACAGACTCAAAATGGCTGCATCACGGACATTATACGAGAGCCGGGGTAGTATGAGAGGAAAGTTGAGACGCACTGAGATGCACTCTGGGTTACAACGCTGGTGCAGACTCCGTTGCCCGCGTGGAGGAGGAGGAGGGGAAGTCGCTGTCCGTGGTGCTGAAGTCACCGGAGGATGGAGAGCCGATTCCAAAAACACTCCCGTAGCCAATTATTGATGGTTGTGGGGGGGGCTTATTAATGGACCGTGGCTTAACTAAGCATGACGGGTAGGGTTAGGGTTACGGCTGTGCCACTTGCCTGGAGCGATTGATTTTCCCTTCCCAGCAACGCGGTATTTCACACTACGGTCAGCTGGAAAAAAAAATCGCCATTTCCTACGACGGGTTGATAACTCGGCCCGGGTAGGGAGGTCCTCCTGACGAGATGCAATATTTAATCGAGAAATAAAAAACGTGACATTTTCATATTGGCGGCTGAATAAGTAACGGAAGCAGTCGCGACGAGATCCACGCTGAGCCACGCGAGACCGAGTTCACAGTTCAATCCCTGGCACCGCAGAGTGCACGACGCACTGCGTTGTGTCGTCGCGAAATTTGCTTAAACCTGGGCGGGGTGAGTTGGATGAATGATACTCTTTGGTTTTATTCGGTAAAGTCACGTAGGTAAAATAAAATAAAACAAAATAAAACAATTAAATCACGACGTTTCGGAGGCAACACAAGTCTCCTTCTTCAGGTGGAACAGACACAGCGGAACATCAGTGTCAAGTGGACAGTTCAGAGACCGGGTCTATATACAGGTGAACGGGGGGGGGGGGAGGAGTCAGACCGGGATGTGGGTGGGGGGGGGGCTGAGCCAAGCCGCCGCTTGTCACGACGCAGGGGGCTCGGAGGAGCGGAGGTGCCTCATTTGCGAAAACGTGTAAACCCCCTTTGTTATGCTGCCGGGGGTTGGAGGAAAGGGATGGCGCGCTGCAAGGGTGCAAGTACAGCTTCATTTTGATAATAACCGGTAGGTTTGCAGAGTACCTTGGTATCGGAGGCCATCCAGATTTACAAACAGACACAACTTCAACCGAGAGGATAGTTTCAAATTGAGCAACCACTGGAAAGATGTTATAAATGAAGTCAAACGTTAGCTGCCTTTTAATTGTACAGCCATTTCCATCTCTCAGTGGTTGTTTGTCAAACTTTAGCTACCTTATAATTATACAGCCATTTCTAATGCGTTCTAAAAAAATGAAGCTGTACTTGCACCCTTGCAGCGCGCCAACCCTTTCCTCCAACCCCCCGGCAGCATAACAAACGGGTTTTACCCGTTTTCGCACATGAGGCACCTCCGCTCCTCCGAGTCCCCTGCATCGTGACAAGGAGCGGCTTGGCTCAGCCGCCCCCCACCCACATCCCGGTCTGACTCCTCCCCCACCCTTGACCTGTATATAGACCCGGTCTCTGAGCTGTCCACTTGACACTGATGTTCCGCTGTGTCTGTTCCACCTGAAGAAGAAGACTTGTGTTGCCTCCGAAACGTCGTGATTTAATTGTTTTATTTTATTTTATTTTGTTTCATTTTATTTTACCTAAATGACTTTACCGAATAAAACCAAAGAGTATGAATCCTTGCAGTCACGAAAGCTTCAAATCTAGAATGGATGAATGATGTTTCTGTCCACGGTGCGAACATTTCCATATGCAAGATTGTATCCCGCATTTTCAAATTATACGTAATTAAAGTTACGAAAAAATACGGTATGTGAAGATAGCGAATGTTTACCGTGTCCACCCCACCCCCTCACAAAGACAAGCATATGACGAATGCAAGATAAGCGGTAGTAATCATATTGAGGAGCTGTCGACAGGCGCCGAGCAAGTGAGCCCCTCAAACAGAACCTCTCCTCTCACTGCCATGTCCCCTCCCCGCCTCTCGCCCTATCTGATCGTGCCTCTCTGTGTGTCTCTCTCTCGTGTCTCCGCATGTCTCCATATCTCTTCCCCGTGAGTCTCACATTATTTCCGTGTCTCTCCCCGTGTCCCCAGTGTCTCTTTTTCCCGTGTCCCTCGTGTCTCTCTTCGTGTCTCTCCCTGTATCTCTCCCCGTGTCCTCCCATGTCTCTTCTTCCCATGCCCTTCGTGTCTCTCTCCGTGTCTCTCCCCGTGTCCCCCATGTCTCTTCTTCCCATGCCCTTCGTGTCTCTCCCCGTGTCTCTCCCCGTGTCTCTCCCCGTGTCTCTCTCCGCGTGTCTCTCCCCGTGCCTGAGCGTCTCTCCCCCGTGTATCCCTCCCCGTGATTCTCCGCGTGTCTCTCTCTGTCCGTGCCTCTCTCATCGTCTCGCCCCGTGGCCCCATCGCCCCTTGCGCTCGCGTTATTAGACGGCGTCACATCCTCGCACCCCCCTAATCTTTCCCCACGCACACGACTCTCACCCCGCCCTTTCTCCCGCAATCAACGCTTTGTTTACGTTACACGTGTTTTCGCGATCGGCATTCACCCACCGACTTCCACCAACAATCTCGTCCGCGCGTCACTGCCCGCGCGGGGGGGGGGGATGAGAGGGGAAGGGTGGTGGTGGTGGTCCGTGCGTTCTGTGTGTTTTAATTAGTGGGTCATTAAAGTTGAAATTGGCGTTTAATTCCACACGTGGACCGCGCGCGGGACACGTGAACGCAATTCGAGGCGAAACTAAAGAGGCCGATTTGTGAAACAACCGATTCGTATTTACACGGTCCGACTGCAAAACATCCCACTGCTGCTACTACTGCTGCCGCTACTGCTGCCGCTACTGATACTACTGCGGCTACTACTGCCGCTACTACTGCTGCCGCTACTGCTGCTGCCGCTGCTGCTGCTGCCGCTGCTGCTGCTGCCGCCGCTACTGCCGCTACTGATACTACTGCTGCTACTGATACTACTGCTGCTACTGCTGCCGCTACTGCTGCTACTACTGCTGCTGCCGCTACTGCTATTGCCGCTACTACTACTACTGCTGCTACTGCTGCCGCTACTGCTGCTACTACTGCTGCTACTACTGCTGCTGCCGCTACTGCTGCTGCCGCTACTACTGCTGCCGCTACTGCTGCTACTACTGCTGCCGCTACTGCTACTGCTGCTACTACTACTGCTGCTGCTGCCGCTACTGCTGCTGCCGTTACTACCGCTGCTACTGCTGCCGCTACTGCTGCTGCTACTGCCTGCTGCCGCTACTACTGCAGCCGCTACTGCTGCTGCTACTACTGATGCTACTACTGCTGCCGCTACTGCTACTACTGCCGTTACTGCTGCTGCTCCTGCTGCCGTTTTCCCATTGACGCGTGACTCGGGCGGACAGCAGCAGCCGCAGCCTGCACAGGTCGCCAGGGTAGGGCGATGTCTGATGTGCACGCTAGTGGTACACACTAGTAGTACACTGGTATCACTCTAGTAGTACACTAGAATCACACTAGTAGTACACTAGTATCACTCTAGTAGTACACGCTAGTAGTTCCAGTACACGCTAGTACTGCTAGTACACGCTAGGGGCCGTCCATAAATGACCTCACGCGATTTTTGACGATTTTTTTACCCCCTCCCCTCGTCACACGGCGTCAAATAAAGTCAGACCCCCCCCTCAAATATGACGTCACAAAGCTCTGCCCCCCCCCCCCCCAAATAAAACATGCATCAAATCGCTTTAAACTATTGTCATTGTAGTGCGTATTTCATGTGCGGCTGCACTCTGATGTAGGAGAAAACATTTATTTAAAAAAAAGTCTATTTAATTAAGTAGAACGTGTTGTCTATATTTTTTAAAAGTTGCGCATTTTGATGTGACGTCACATTTCTCACCCCCCCCCCCTCGTCACACATCGTCACAAATGTCTGACCCCCCCCCCCCCCCCCAGGTGCGTGACGTCATTTATGGACAGCCCCCTAGTAGTACACTAGTATCACTAGTACACGCTCGTAGTACACACTAGTTGTACACTGGTACACACTAGTACTAGTAGTATACTGGTACACGCCAGTACTAGTAGTACACACTAGTAGTACACTGGTACACGGCAGTACTAGTAGTACACACTAGTAGTACACTGGTACACGCCAGTACTAGTAGTACACACTAGTAGTACACTGGCACACGCCAGTACTAGTAGTACACACTAGTAGTACACTGGCACACGCCAGTACTAGTAGTACACACTAGTAGTACACTGGCACACGCCAGTACTAGTAGTACACACTAGTAGTACACTGGTACACGCCAGTACTAGTAGTACACACTAGTAGTACACTGGTACACGGCAGTACTAGTAGTACACACTAGTAGTACACTGGCACCCGCCAGTACTAGTAGTACACACTAGTAGTACACTGGTACACGCCAGTACTAGTAGTACACACTAGTAGTACACTGATACACGCCAGTACTAGTAGTACACACTAGTAGTACACTGGCACACGCCAGTACTAGTAGTACACTGGCACACGCCAGTACTAGTAGTACACTGCTACACACCAGTACTAGTAGTACACACTAGTAGTACACTGGTACACGCCAGTACTAGCAGTACACTGGTACACACCAGTACTAGTAGTACACACTAGTAGTACACTGGTACACGCCAGTACTAGTAGTACACTGGTACACACCAGTACTAGTAGTACACACTAGTAGTACACTGGTACACGCCAGTACTAGTAGTACACACTAGTAGTACACTGGTACACGCCAGTACTAGTAGTACACACTAGTAGTACACTGGCACACGCCAGTACTAGTAGTACACTGGCACACACCAGTACTAGTAGTACACTGCTACACACCAGTACTAGTAGTACACACTAGTAGTACACTGGTACACGCCAGCACTAGTAGTACACTGGTACACGCCAGTACTAGTAGTACACTGGTACACACCAGTACTAGTAGTACACACTAGTAGTACACTGGTACACGCCAGTACTAGTAGTACACACTAGTAGTACACTGGCACACGCCAGTACTAGTAGTACACTGGCACACGCCAGTACTAGTAGTACACTGCTACACACCAGTACTAGTAGTACACACTAGTAGTACACTGGCACACGCCAGTACTAGTAGTACACTGGTATACACCAGTACTAGTAGTACACACTAATAGTACACTGGTACACGCCAGTACTAGTAGTACATGTTGTATGTATCGTTGGCTAACCCCAAATCGTCCCCAGCGGTGCCTCCCTGCGCCGTCCCCCAGCCTTGCGCCTCCGTGCGCTGACTCACGGGGGGCCCCTGCGGCCGGACACACTCGGGGTCCCCGTAGTCGGGGTCCCCGTACAGATTCTCGTACACCCAGCCCTCGGGACCCCGGGAAGGGGGGCCCGAGACCCCCTCGGCCTTACGGGCGCACGGCCCTCGCACGCAGCCGGGTGGTGGCGGCAGCGCGGGCAGCGAGCGGCAGGCGCGGGTGGAGGCGAGGTCAGCACGGGTCAGGGCGAGGTCAGCACGGGTCAGGGTGAAGTCGACACGGGTCATGGTGAGGTCAGCACGGGTCGAGGTCACGGTCGGGGTCGAGGTGTGGTGGCGAGGCCAGTCCGCGTGTTCGTACACGTTGCCTTCGTCGATGTCGTAATCACCGGCTCCGCCGTTATCTCCGCCACCGCCATCATCACGATAACTCTTCACCGCATTGCCCTGCTGATGCTGCTGTTGCTGCGGGTGCTGATGCTGCGGCTGCTGCTGCTGCTGCGGCGGCTGCTGCTGCACACGCAGCCGGGGTAACTTCACCACGAGTTGCATGTCGGGTCCCGGTCGCCACGCGTTCTCCGGGGCAAAGATCGTGGCGCTGCTGGCGCTGTTGTAGCTCGCCGTGGTCGTCGTCGTGTTGACGGTGGTGGTGCTGCACGAGGGGTCCTCCGCGGTGCGTCCCCTCTTCGTCGACCGCGAGTTTCCCACCCGGGGCCCTCCGCGGCCGCACACAGACGCCGCGGACGTGGCGGCGGCGAGGGCCCAGCACAGCAGAGCGGAGAAAGCCGAGTAGGAGCCCCAGCCCAGGTGCAGCACGCGCACGGTGGCGAGCAGGTAGCAGAGGAAGGCGGTCACCTCCCCAGCTACGAGCACGCCTGGGGGTCACGGGGTCGGGAGAGCGAAGGGGTGTGGGGGGGGGGCACACGTGGACGGGAGACGGGCGAGGGAGTGAAAGGGCAGAGGCCCAGCAGGTTGCGGGGAGGGCATTAGAGGGAATGGTGCAAGAGGTGAAGGGTGGTGAGAGTTGGGGTGTTGGGGGGCAATATTGGACCGGGGTAAGGGGAGCATTAGAGCAGTGGTTTTCAACCGGGGGGTACTCGGACCCCTGGGGGCACGTGGTAATGTCCCAGGGGGTAACGCGAGGTCATCTACGAATGTGTGAACATGATATCATGCACGAGAGCCGTTGGTGAATAAATAGTGCTTGAATCTGGCAATATAAAATAACTACGGTAACATTTTAATCCATGTGGCAACCCGGACCGATATAAAATACCTTGCTAAACTTATTGATCCTAAAACAACGTGATCTCCGAGAGTATTCAGCGAGCGCGAACAAATCACGTCACGCGTGCAGGAGCGTCCGTTGATATTTTTTGCTTGTTATTCGCTTGCAGTTAGTACCAGCAATGTATGATCCTTCACCAAATGGACAATCGGTTAAAATCATGGGACCTCCTTTGCCAGTAACAAAATATGAAAATAGGTTTTCCCCTTTTTTCTGGCAACAAAACAGGTGTTAAGATGTTAAAACACCAAACTGAAACCTTTAACAAGGAATCATGCATTCTGACCACAAGCATTTTGGTGAATGCAGACATGATTCCTTGTAAAAGGTTTCAGTTTGGTGTTTTAACATCTTAACACCTGCTTTGTTGGCAGAAAAAAGGGGAAAACCTATTCTCAAATCGGTTAAAATATTTGACGTTCATTATTGGTACATTCTCAGAACCCACGTTAGGTCAGGCAAGGCGATGGAGGTGTAGTGGGGGGGGGGGGCACTCGGTTAAAACAAAATTCAACAAAGCAACGGGGGGAAGGGTTCACGTAGCCCCCCCCCCCCCCAAATAAGTGTGAGAACCACTGCATTGAGACGGGTGGGTGAGTGGGGAGCGAGGCGGTCGTGGGACGCGTGGACTCACAGGCGAGGGCCAGCATGGCGGGGAAGGCGTGCGCCGTCCAGGTGGGGGGCCGCCCGGCGCCGCGGCCCCCCGCGACTCGCAGGGCGCGCGCCCCCAGCACGAGGGCGCAGAACGAGGCGGAGCACGTGACCAGGGCGCACGCGCACGCGGCGTCGCGCGCCACTGCGCAAAAAACAACCAAACAAAAACGACAACACACGTGACACGCAGCACAAATAAGCCACCGTGTAGCCTGTAACAGACTGTCTGGGCAAGGTTTTGTTAGCGAGCACCTGTGAAGGCCGGCACGCCACACGAGGGGGTGGGTGGGTGGGTGGTGGTCAGCACCACGCCCGGCCGGCTTTGTCTCCACAGTGGCGATGTTTACACACCGCACCAGGTACTCATTTGAGGCTGAGTCGACCTAGAAGAGGCCCAGGACCGGTTCAGATAATCGTCACTGGGTGTTGGCCGTGAGCGGGAATCGAACCCGGGCCGCCGGGTTCGTAGCGCAGCGCAGTGTGCTAATCGCTGCACCACCGCTCCTCATGACCGCTATCATCACCTCCAACACCATCATTAGCAGCAGCAGCACAACCACGATAAGACTCCACAGAATGTTATGATGCCCCCTCAACAAAACGATGTCACGGACCCCCGTGACTACTTAGGTGTGAGTGGTAAGCAGCTGAGTGCTCAATGATCTGTGAGTCAGTGAATGGAGAGTTAGTGGGGGGGGGGGTGGATAGGTGAGTGATGGTGAATATATTAGCGAGTGGATGAGTGGCTATTGCGAGTGGATGAGTGAATAAGTAAATGAGTGAATGAAAGCGAAAGCAAGTGAATGGACGCCTGATTTTGTGTGTGGGCGGATAGGTGAGTGGGTTTCGTGGTAATCGAACGCCGTACATGGGTGACTGAGTGAGTGAGTGAATGAGCGGGTGGATGATTATTCCACTGATCGGGTAAATCGAGCCAGTACGTGAGCGAGCAAACACGTGAATGAGTGAATTAATGCGAGTGTGAGGATCGAACGAATGGACGAGCGAGCGGATGAACGATCGAACGCAAATCTCTGTGGACGGACACAAAAAAAGACAAAGACCCCCCGTATAGCCTGTAACAGACTGAAGGCCAGAACGGCACACGAGGAGGGTGGGTGGCCAGCACCACGCCCGGCCGCCTTTGTCTCCCCAGTGGCGATGTTTACGCACCGCACCAGGTACTCACTTGAGGCTGAGTCGACCTAGGGGAGGCCCAGGACCGGTTCAGATAATCGTCACTGATTTTGGCCGTGAGCGAGAATCGAACCCGGGTCGCCAGGTTCGTAGCGCAGCGTTGCGCTAACCAACTACACTACCGCGTGCGCGCGTGTGTGGACGGACACACGCACGCACACGCACACCACCCTCTTACCGCACGTTCCCGCCGCGCCGACGTTCCCGCTGCAGGGCGGGCTGGTGCAGGGCGCGCCTCCGCCGGGGCAGTGTTGCCACAGGCCCAGGGTCTCTCCCCGCCACGACACCCAGGAGGAAGAGAGGGTGGCCGCGGCCGACAGAGCGAGGGCCGCGACCGTGAACACGACGGCCACGCGGAGAGGTGCCACGCGGCCGCACGCCGCGCCCATTGCTGTACCGTGTCAGCAGGTGCGCGTGAAACGCGTGCGAGGTGGACCCGTTCCTCCGGAGCACACCACGCGGCTAACCCAGCCACTGGGATCCTTTCTGACGGCCCAGGTGAAGCTTGGCGCGGGGCGAGTGACTCGCGGCGCGGGGAGGTCCTCCCGAACTGCAGCAAGGTGATACGAAACGTAATTCTACGTGGCCGCCTTTCCCTTTCGAATAGCAAGGAGCTACCAGGTGAGATCTTTCGCGCAGCCGACCTTGCTACTTGCTGTCACCTGTGCCCAATTGTCCCGGCTAGACCTCACGGCAAGGTTGACACCTGCCCAACTTTCCCGGTCACCTGCGCGTCCGCAGCAGCAGCAAAAAAAAATCTTCCAGGTGTCGGCACGTTGAAGTGCTTCAAAACGACCTTGCCCACCGTCAACCCGTCCCAACTTCCCTTGGCTGCACACGCGGGGAAAAACCGGGTGATCTGCAGGTTGACAGACACCCCCCTTCTCTCAACCACCACAACCAGCTGACACCCCGACTGCCTGGGTTCGAACACCCTGCGAGATGGCACAAGGCGACGCGGTCCCTGCCACACGGTTAAGACACTCAAGATGCCTGCCCTGAGTTTATCTGCCCGCTCTCTGGCCAGATCCGAAGCACAACGACCCCACATCATTGCCGTGAGACCCACCCCATCCACCACCACAGGCAGTACAAACACAATAAACACAGTCAAGGATCCCCCCTTCTCCCTCCCTTCCTCACCCCGTATCAGCCTTAACAGACTGCTTGAGGCAAGTGCTGTTAGCTCGTAGCACCCATTAAGGCCGGCACGGCACGCGAGGGGCTGGGTGGCCAACACCACGCCCGGCCGCATTTGTCTTCCAAGTGGGGATTTTTACACACACCACACCAGGTACGACTCATTTGAGGCTGAGGCAACAAACACCGCGCTGTACTGTACACAACGCACACCACAGCAGGCACCTTGCCGGGCCTACGATTGTGTTGTGATGCTGCCTAGGGCAGTGGTACACAAACATACCAAAACATTGCCTAACCCCCCCCCCCCCCCCCAAAAAGGGTAATTGCCCGAAACGTCACCGGTTATAGATTGTTTTCCTTTCAGGGCAGTGTTATTGACGAATCGATACACATGTTGCGATGATTATAAATGTTTTGCTCGTGTTTATTTCAGGTAGTAAGTGTTATTTCCTAATTGCTTATGCCTCAAAAGTACAGAGAATGGCTATTATTATTATTCCCCACAAACTTTACTTTTGTGACCAGGACAGTGACATTTTGAAATTTACCTATTTTCACTTAGAACACGTGGTGTGCATTTTGTCATTCCTTCAAGTAAAGTCCTGGTCACAAAAGCAAAGTTTGTGGGGAATGATAATAACAATAATAGCAACATTTTCTAGACTTTTTAGGCATAAACAATTAACAAAAATAACACTTACTTACCCAGGGACAAAAATCGTGTTACTGATTATAATCAGCCAGGCTCTCTTCCATGGGTGTCTTGCGATGGCTGTAAATATGTGTCGAGCTTTGTTTAGGCCCAGAAGAGTACCGTTTTATTTTTTTTATCTTACCAGGTAAGGCTCACTGAGCTACATTGCTTGTTTTTTCAGGAGCGATAGCTCGAAGAAGTGGCTCATTGTGTGGACATATCAGCCAAATACTCTCAACGCGTGATGTTGATTCTCAATGTGCAGAGAAAAGCCGAAGGAACCGGAGAAAAATTCACGCGACCACGGGGAAAGGGAGAGACACGAAAACTCAACATATACAGCAGGCGTCAGGATCGGGATCGAACCAACGACCCCCTATATACCAGGCGAAGGAGTTAACGTCCCTTAGCCACCGTGATGATGATGAGAGAGAGACACGAAAACTCAACATATACAGCAGGCGTCAGGATCGGGATCGAACCAACGACCTCCTGTATACCAGGCGAGGGAGTTAACGTCCCCTAGCCACCTTGATGATGATGAGGGAGAGACACGCAAACTCAAAATATACAGCAGGCGTCAGGGTCGGGATCGGGATCGAACCAACGCCCTCCTGTATACCGGGCGCAGGAGTTAACATCTCGCCACCTCGGCGCACCTGTCAAGAAGCACATGTTCAGACCAACGAGGCATCAGCAGGGAATATTTTCTTGCTCGGAATATACCGGAACGTTGCCATAGGCTTACCGTGAGTCACGGATTATCGGCGTGAAGGCACTGCCACTCCCATTATCACGGTTGGCTACTTACGGTACGAAAGAAGTTAAACGTACAGAGAGTATACCAGAGACGCCTATCCATAATCACCATATGTTATTTGTACGCTATATTCCTGTAATGAAATTAACGGCTTCATTAGCATCGGTGTAAATTAGGACCACGCATTGCGAAGTTGGTGTGGCGTGCCAAATTCATTCCCCATAACAACCAGCATTTCGGGCTGTTGTGGATTAAACGAATCCCAGCGGCTGCCAGAATTCAATCTCGCCAGGCCTCCTCTCTCTGCCTGACGTTGGCCGCACCAACGCGGCATCCTGCATTGTTCATTGAGTTAAGGCCGCGATGACCTCGAGATTATGAGTTAGGCTTAGACGTCAATTGTCACCGGTGGCGTGAGTGGCCTGTAAAATACATGGGGTTCTATGACAGCGTGCTCCGTGTAACGGCCACAAAACTGCCGCTTATCGTGATGAGTTTGATGCTACTACTACCGATGATGATGATACAGAAGCACCACTGATATTGTTGCTGCTTTTACGCATGTTGAACTTCTTTCGCGCCGTACGTAGCCAACCGCGCTAATAGAAGGTGCTGTTACCGCTGATCATGTTGATCTTGCTGCTACTAATGACTAATGCCCTTGATGACAGTGTTGCTGCTGATGATGTTTATGATGCTGATGATGATGGTGACATCACTCGATGTGCATATTCGCGGTGGTGGCGGCGATGCACGCTGGTGACCACCCCACGCTGTGGGAGGCGCGAGGTTGTTGGTGGATCGGATAAAATAATAACTGAATGTCGCCAGACTCCCCATCTTCCAGTGGGCAGAATCCAGTCCAAGCAAGGTGTGGACTGGTTCGCGGCTGTCCCTTTTGTGTGGGTTAAAGTGCAGCCTCCCTCACACGTGTGGGTTTTAGCCCGGGTGCTCCAGTTTTCTTCCACCGATGATCTGAAAACATCTTCATATGTAGAGGACTGCAGAGCAATTGTTGTCGCCGGCCCTCTGCCTGGCAGCAGCCTCTCCAGCTTCGGTCTGTGGGTTCGTCGGCGATCGTCAAAGATGCAGTTTGCACGAACGACGCTAATATATAAAACGAATCATTAAGATAGTTTTGATTTAAAGCTTTCGTGACTGCAGGGATTCAAATTCTTGGTTCTTTCGGTAAAGTCACCACGTAGAAGGGAAACAATAAAATAATATTTTATATTTTTATTATTTTATTGTTTCCCTTCTACGTGACTTTACCGAAAGAACCAAGAATATTAAGATAGTTGTTCATAATCAAGGTTTTTGGGTTAGATCGCCTGAGTATGAATGTGTCGAAACCCTCCACTACCCGACACAGCCAATCAGTAAGGGATTTGTCACGTAAACAAAACGCCAATTAGTTTACTACTTCAGCCCACCGGTGTGTTGGAGAGTAAATCCACAACTTTATTCTAGATTTGAAGTTTCCGTGACTGCAATGATCCATCCTCTTTGGTTCTTTCGAGTATAAATCCACAACGTTTACAGTCTGAGCGCCGTGACGTTTCGCTGGTAATTACATCAACCAGCATCATCGGGCGATTTGCCAGAATACTGAAGCCATCCACCTGCTTCCGGTCTTAAATAGAAACGTCGTACTCAGATTGTCAATGTTGTGGATTCACTGTTCAACGCACCGGTGGGCTGAAGCAGTAACCATTTGGCATTTTGTTTACGTGACAAATCCCATACTGATTGGCCGTGTCGGGTGGTGGAGGGTTACTACACATTTATAAATAACGCGATCGAACCCAAAAACCTTTATTACGAATAATATTGGTCGCGAAAGCCTACGTGTTAAAAAGATAGTTGTTGTTGTTGTCGCTGATGATGCGACCGATAATGATACCGTTGACGACGGCGCAACTGCTTCTACTGCTGATGATGCTGCTGCTGATGATGATCATCATCATGGTGCTATCAGCTGGGTTTTTTAAAAGTCTATTCGGCTGTGGCGAGACGTTGCCGTGGGTGGTGAGGTTAGTGGGTCCTCCATAAACCCGCGCCGTGTTCCTTGTGCCGTTGCCGGGCGACGTTTCCTGCGAGGCTTCTTTATCGCACGACGTTTTAATTAACTCGCGGCGCGCGATGCCGTCACCACGAGGATGATTGGCAAACAAGGGGAGGCAATTAACCCCCGGCGGCCGTGGAGGGGGGGGGGGGCGGAGAGCCTGGAGCCATCAAGCGAGTGATGATGCTATCGCCAAGTGAGAGGGGCGAGACGTAGGAGGATGGAGGAGCCTTGACGTTCTTGACAAGTTCACGGACCACCCCCCCCCCCCCATGTCTCTTTGTGGGGAGCGGTCGTGCAGCGAACGGTTCGGGCGCAGCTCTGCAGCAGGTGAACCCCCCCCCCCACCCGAGTTCGGATTTCCCCTCTCGCGGCCACGATTATCTGAACCGGCTCCTAGGCCTCCCCCTAGGTCGACTCAGCCTCAAATGAGTAGCCTGGTGCGGTGTGTAAAGCATTCACCGCTAGGGAGACAAAGGCGGCCGGGCGTGGTGTTGACCAGCCACCCCCTCGCGTGCCGTGCCGACATTTCAAAGGTGGTGCTAGCTAACAGCACTTGCGCAAACAGTGTGTTACAGGCGACACGGGGGATCTTTGTCTTTTGCAATGATAATGATGATGACCTCCGACCTTTTGGGAGATCCAATCGTTTAATCAATCGATTACTACTCGGTCGATAATCTCTTTGGTTAACACGGAAATGTTTACATTATGAGACCTCCTTTGC